ATCATACGTTGTCACATTCCTCTTTAAATTAATGTCTGTCCTTTCATCTGTTTTATCCACCGGTATCTTTCTCACCTCGGCCTGTCTCGTTAACATTTCCGGTCTAATCATAATATACATCGCCCAGCGAAAACAAAGAAACAGATGAGAACCCTCGCTCACAAAACCGCAGACAGGCAAGGTCGGCGTGTGACAATTTCCCCCGGAAAAATTTCCGCAGCCGGCATCCAGCCTAACGCGACTCACATGTGGGGAGGCCCGTGACGTCAGGAGTGGGGGTTATGACGTTAAAATGAGACGTCACCACACGAAGGCGAACGACGGGAGAAAACAAGGGTAGTTATGTCTACGTAGTGCTGAACTATGCTGACCTAGCACCTCTCGCCTCTGCCGCCCCGCTCTCCTACCCTCTCACACCAACAACAAGCTTCACCACTTCTCACTTCACTTCACTTATATGAATGAGACAAAATGCAAGTACTTACTTGTTAAAACAACCCATTAGAGCATGTTGCAAACCCAAACGTACAAATGAATCATATATTCATAAATATACTACAGGGAAAAACTCTACTTAGTACAGGGAAACAAGTGAATCAAGTACACACAAAAAAATTAAACATACTATTGATATGCCTTAAGGAGTTTTGCTAGCTCTGTAAAGGCATATATCAAGTTAACATATATCTATCAATCAAAGCTATAAGAATATAATAAAAAATTATATATATCTCAGCTTAAATGTCAATATGGTCATATATATACATTATGTATAATTATGGTTAATCATTACGTACTCTGTATGAGTAGGCAACTTGAAACTATTACTAGTAAACTTATAAGTATTACTACTAATGTTAAAACACAGAAAAATATGGGATAAAGTGCACAGTAATCACTTCAAAAAAACAAAGAACTAAAAGCTGCTACGCCCGGCGCCACCTGAAACCACAAGGGAAGATTAAGCCTATCCTCCGAGGGTTTTTGAATTTGTACAAAACCCACCCCGTGAGTCAAAATTACACAGTAATTCCCAATTACGTATTACAATGGTAGGATATGACAGAGGGCAAGACATGGAAATCACCGCTGCCGCCACTATCGAAATCTTGATAACTGGAAATGTTATTAGATTTCTATTAAAATATAATGGCCGCCACCACCGCTGTTTTATTAGAAAACAGGGAAAAATAGATCTCCTCCAAGTGAATTAATTATTTCAATAATATTAAAATCATAATTCCTGTAATGAAGGGATTCAGTAAACGAAAGTTAAAGTTTCCTTTGTTTTACTATTTTTAGTTTTACAGTTAAATTACATTAATTCTATGTTCTATTGACATACATTAAATTTATATACAACTGGAATGTTCTTTAAAAACTTGACAGAAATAAATGACAAGCCCTGCTTACCAAAATAACCAATAACGACACACTGGCCATGGTCTCTCCTAGATCCATCTTGCACGGCGTCTCCCAGACGAATAGGGAAAACGACCCTGGGTCAGCCCGCCGGTCGCTTCCTCACATACATCAGCAACACGTGATCGCACCTCGTACGATGTCCCGTCATCACGGTTTTTTCCACTTGTGCCCTGCACTCGTGATTTTCCTTTCTTTTCTAACACTCGTGGAAGATTCCTAATCTTCCACATCTATATATATATATATATATATATATATATATATATATATATATATATATATATATATATATATATATATATATATACATATACACACACAGAAAAAGGTACAAATTTTTGCCAGTATTTACATGTATATAAATGCATACAGACACACAGTAAAAGCCAAGGGTTGCATAATCCAGATCTTTATAAAGAAAAGTGCTATTGTCCATATCTTTCATCAAACTGAATATTCCTATCCTCAGGCGAGGTGTTTGTGCTGGTTGACGGTGGTGAGGGGGACCTCGACCTGGGTAATTTTGAGCAGTTCCTTGGTGTCACACTCCACAGTGGTAACAACATAACAACTGGGAAGATTTACCAGTCTGTCATGAACAGAGAGAGGTGTGGGGACTACCTCAGGAAGACCATTCAGGTAGGGAATGGCTTTAGGAAATGACTGGAAGAACAGGGAAGCATGTCCTTGTCTTGTAAGTGGTTGTTTTGTGTTATTGAAATGTGCATTTGAATTATATTTCTCCTTCCTTCTTCTTTTTTTATTTATTTATTTTTTTCCCTCTTTTTTTTCTTTTATTTTGTTTCATGTATTATAGGTCATCAGTTGGTTTTAATGATTTTTAGATTTTCACATGTATCTTTTTGTTTTATTTGAGTCTTTTTAACCAGGATCATGTGTTCGCATGCTTAGAAGCAGACAAATAAACAGGTAGATATATAATTGAAAATGTTAACACAACTTGCTATAAGGCATAAGAAAATTTGTTGAAAAATCTCTTCATTATATAAACTGACATTGCTACCTTTCAGGTGGTGCCACACATCACAGATGCAATTCAGGAATGGTTTGAGACAGTGGCACATCGGCCAGTGGATGACGACCATGCAGATCCCGAGGTCTGTATCAATGTGTTGGGACAGTTGGAGACAGTGAGGGCATGCCCTTGGTTGAGGCCTTCAGGCAGTGACAGTTTAGAGTGAAGGTAAGAGGGAGACCATTTGTCACTCCAATTTGTATCTGATTGCCTTTTTCTTAATTTTTGTTCTCTGCTGGCAACTCTCCCACCTTTCTTTGAAATATTGCTAATCAGAATGTGTCAAGGATACAGTTCACCAGTGTCAGAGTATCTTTCACATTTTGCAATATTATAATTGATTTAGCTTTCATGTGTAGGGCAAAGGTAAAGACAGACATTTTCTTCCCACTTAATTATTTGTTTATATATTTTTAATCTCTGTTCAAGAGCAAAGTAGCATAGAACTTAATTTATAGTTATAACTATCTTGTTACTCTTAATTGTAAATATGTACCTGATGACCAAGGTTTTAGCTTGAGCTCAGTCATCAAAATTGCCTTGATGGTTTGTGTTGATTTGACTACATTCTTCAAATTTAATAAGTTTCATGCAATTTACATTCATATAGAGATACAGGATTCCAAAGTTGGCAGACTTTTTTTTTTTTTTTTCTTATGAATACTCAAAGGAATGGGGAGGCATGGTGAACAATGACTAAATCACTGAGCTAGAAACCCTATGACCTCAAAGATGGCTTCTTGAGCCTAACAAACTTGTATTAGCAAACTTAGTGGGTTAGGTCCTCTAGGTGCTTATTCATGAATCTGAACTAATAATTTCTAATAGCTGTATTCATCTTGCCTCTTTGCAGAGAGAGAACATCTGTGTGGTTCTTGTGTCCCTGGTACCCCAACCAACCTCATCAAGAGCACACAAGACCAAACCAACTCGAGCCAGTGTGAGGGAGTTGCGTGGATTGGGGTTGTCTCCTGACATAGTTGTCTGCCGCTCAAAGAAGCCCATAAACCAGTTCGTCAACCAGAAGATATCCAACTTCTCTCGTGTCTCCAAAGCAGGTGAAGATAATTTTTATTAATGATCATTGCATTTTGCTGTTAGGGATAATTGCATAAATGTTTTTTTCTTCTCTTTGTTCTATGTTATAGTACTGACATATGAATTTATTTGCATTCTGATTCTCACATATAAAAAAAAGAGAAAAGGAGCTAATAATTGTTTCATTAATCCTTTTTTTGTAAAAATAGAAGAGACAGATTCTCTTTCCATCTGTCTTTCTATCCTTCTCCATATTCCAGTTACAGAAATATTAAGGCAAAAACAATATTGATTTTAATTTTCTGCGCAGGTTATTTGTCTGCATGATGCCTCAAGCATTTATGCAGTACCCGTGATGTTGGAGGAGCAACAGGTGTTGCCCCTCCTCAGCAGTCGTCTTGGCTTCAACTTAAGCACACATTGCCCCCGGAACTTCATGCAGAAATGGCATGAGCTTTCAACTAAGTGAGTTGATTTTAATTTAATACTTTTTTCTGTTATTTTTGTGTACACACACACACACACACACACACACACACATATATATATATATATATATATATATATATATATATATATATATATATATATATATATATATATATATTAAATTTCATTCTTTCCATCTGAATTAATCACCCCTCTCTTCTCTTTTAGTTTCTTTTTTTTCTCCTAGGTCTACCTCTCATTAACATTTTCTCCATTTCCTCCTCTGGCAGGCATGAGCATCTGCAGTACAGTGTCTCCATTGTGCTGGTTGGAAATCATACAGACCTAGAGGACTCATACACCTCAATGATCAAGGCCCTGCAGCATGCCGCCCTTGCATGCAACCACAAACTGGATTTGAAGTGCTTGGAGGCTGAGGATCTAGAGGAGGATGCAAAGGCAAAGCAGCCTGTGAAGTGTTATGAATGGAAGAATGTGTGCAAGGCAGAGTGAGTAAAGTGACGTGGGATGTGTTTTCTACTTTGTTTTTCCTTTTTTGTTCTTTGCTTTCATATTCTTAAGGCAAAGTTACTTGATGCTTGAGTGAAATGTTTGAACATAAATTCAAATAAGATTTATGATTTTGGCCTCATATGTATGCTAATGCTCAGTGATAGAAATTTCCATTTGATTTCACTATCAGTATATGAATTTTAGACACACATAAGAATAAGTTGTGGACATTTCTTGGGTTCAGGATAAGTAAATGATGCATTTTAATGGGTTTGCTCTGGATGGGTTAAAAGACGCGCAGTGCTAGTGTAAGGGGCACTTGCCTGCGAGTGGCAACTTTGAATGCATTGTCCTGAGAGTATCTTGTCTAAGACAGTACACACGCACCAAGTTGAAAGAAAGATTTGATGAAGCCTCAAGTTCATTTCATGGTACACAAAGGGAAACTCTCTCTTTCCCTGAGTAAGGGGAGAAGTAAAGGATAATGGGATATGGAGGACAACAGGAGAACCACAGAGGGGGAAATTGTGACAGACTCTGCTAATGATAGGTTCTCATTTTGGCTAGAGGGTGGGGCATAGTCTAGCTATGTGGAGCTATAGAATTTCTAGGGTAATATATGGAGTCTAAATAATAGAACCAGAATAGAATATGGGGATTACTCAGCAGCAGCTAAAATAAGATTAAATTGATGCCAATATTGACATCACAGTATATTTCAGTGGTACTTCATGATGCCAAAAGAGGTGTATAGAATGGGTTAAAGATCTTGTGATTATTATTTTTTTCTTTTTCTTAATACAGATACATTGATATTATATGATAATACCATACTAGAATTCAAGAAATTTATTTTTTTCAGTGATATTATTCCACACTAGACTTAATTTTTTTTTTTTTTTCAGTGGTATTATTGTTCCCGGAGGCTTTAGTCACTGTGGAATGGAAGGAAAGGTTTCTGTGTGCAAATGGGCCAAGACAAAGGAGAAGCCACTGTTGGGCATATGCCTAGGCTTACAAGCTGCAGTAATTGAGTACTCAAGGTAAGCCTTCCCATTCTCAGAATGCAAGACTTTTGATTCAGTACTTTCATAATGAAAATTCTCAAGTTTGTTTGCCTCTTAACATGGTTCCTTCCTTGAAGTAAAACCTTAGCCAGTACATTGCACAGAAATGTACTGGGCTGGACAGATGCCAACAGCCAGGAGATGTTTCCTGAGGAATGCGATTGTGGAGATGCCAGAGCACAACCCAGGCCAGCTTGGGGGCACCATGAGACTGGGCTAAAGGCAGACTGTGTTCAAATCACATGACTCAAAGCTGTGTCAATGGCAATGTGGACTTTGTTGAGGAGAGGCACTGACACAGGTATGCTGTACTGGAGGCTTGATAGATACTTTTGTATGGATGTTTTGTTTTTTTGTTGCTCTATATATTGTTCTATACTCTTTTGGGAACTCCTTACTCAGAAAACAAGTTCTTCAATGCCTTGATCACAGCCATGCTTGTGACATGCATGGGCATTTTCCTGATAACTGGAAACTTTGAGTAGTAATCAGCTATAATCAGATAGTCATTTTCTCCATAATGGAAAAGATCTCTTCCAGCATATTGCCATAGTTGTGTAGGAAGTTCATGCGGGGTGAGGGTTTCCTTTTTTTGTGACCTTGACATTTTTTGGCATAGGGAATACGGCTGGACTCTGCTTTCAGTATCCTTGTTGATTGAAGTCCAGTATACACAGTCTTTGGCTCGAAATTGGCTTTTCTGGGATTATGGCTCTGCTGCCTTTTATCACTAGCCCATCGTCGATAGATAACTTGCCTCTGAAGGACCAGTATGGTTGTAATCTTCTCGGTAGATCGTTCATCTTCTCTGGCCATTCTTGGATAATGACTTGTTGAAGTCTGTGTAGGGTGCTGTCTCATTCCTGCCGAAGTTTGTCTAGTTTCTTGTTGCTGAATGTAACAAAGTTTATTTGTAGGTCTAGACCAATATGTTAGTTGTCCATTGATGGCAAGCATGACAGACCATCTGCTATAGATCTTTTCCCGGCTTGTATAGGATTTTGACGTAATGCAACCTCATAAGCATACTTTGCAGTCTGGGCGGTGCAGCTGTCAGATTCTTCAGCTGAATCATTTCTTGTGGTTTGTGGTCACTCTCCACCTGGAATGCTTTGCCTTATACTTAACCCATTCGTGCCGGGTAAAAATGAACAAAAAATGGGGGAAATGCTGTGCTCATTTTTTATATCTTTTAATGAAATTTTTCTACACTAGATGGCTCTGCTTTACCTGATTTCATTTGGCGGGAAAATGTATTTTTACTAGTGCTATGAATATCGATAGTTATTTTTATTATAAACATTATAATTACTATAATGTTATAAACATTAGTAACAGCAAAATAAGGTAACGCAAAATAATTTCGTAAATTAAAGAAAAGGGTAAACAGACGAGACAGGCAGTACAAGTGCAAGTGGAGCCATCTATGTTTGTAAACAATCAAACAAGTAAACTCACAGTGGGCCCGTCACGTATGTGTGACGCCCGGCGCGAATGGGTTAAGTGCAAAATCTTTCACATCCAAACACCACTGCATGTAGTTCCCTTTCAGTAATGGCATAGCATTGCTCTCTTTCAGACAGAGACTAGGATGCATAGGCGATAGGCTTGTCATCTTGCATTATTGCAGCACCAGTACCCTTTTGTGGTGAAACTACTTGTATGACTGTTGGTTTATTTGGAATGAAATGTGCCAGTGTTGCATCTGTGCACAAAATATTCTTAATGCTGCGTTCGAATGCCTTCTCATTGGTTGGTGACCATGTAAAGTCTACACCGTTTTGCGGAGGCTTCTAAGAGGTGTAGTTTCATCAGCCGGGTTTGGGATAAATGGTGACCATTCCCAAAAACTGTTGCAGCTCTATGATATT